TCAAGGAACCATAAATAAAAACAGAAAATATAAAGACGGAAAATATAAAGTAAAGACTGAAATATAAACGGAGCCTTGTTGGGATTGGATCTCATCAATTGATAACACATGCATTCTTCTGATCATGTTAAACACAACTCAATCATTCGTCTAATATCCTCACGTATCACCCACGACAAAGGTCATCTCTAACGCAACATCAAGAGAACAACCGTGTTGTCTCATTGGTGATGTCTCACGCAACAAAAACACAACACAAAGCATTAAGAAATGATACTCACGCAAATGTTAAGCCTAAATCTATTTCTAGAGTTTAGGACCTAACATGTAATCATCCTAGATCCATATCTGAAGAGTACATGTCTATAGCGGTTCAAATCAAAGATAAACAGGTAAACAAAGACGACACCCATATCGGATAAGCGATTGTTTTCATATAAAACACAATGATCAGAATATGTCCATACGCTTAACCCTTTTTACATGTATTCATCTAATCTACCAAATGTATGTGAACATCGTTCTTCATCACTATTATCACGCACCCGCACAATATCGTATTGATCCTACTCATACTACTTAATTAACACAATAAAATAGAAGATACAATGAATATCAACTTACAAAACCATGTCAAAATTTTGTTCATTGATAGATGAAAATATTAGATTAAAGATGTGAAAAGGTTTTGTCAAGACCCACAAAAGAAATCAAAGAACTTCAATCAATAGAGGATCCAAATTAGTTCACAAACATATATTAGATGAAATACATAAGGTATCAAAAGATTACATCCAACCCCAACAAGAGATCAAAGATCTTACCTCCTCCCTCTTAGGGTTTTGTATTTCTCTCTCTAAAACAAATTTGAAATGAAGAGAGATAAGTTCTGATGTAAAAAAATATTAAATTCTAACCTAAAAAGCAAGAAAAGTACTTATATAGTACATTCAGGATCTGTCTTGTTCGCACTGCGAACAGATCCTTCGCCTAGCGAACATCAAATTAGGCACCTGAGGTGTCTCTGAACAGTTAAACCGCCCTTGAGACTTTTCCACATATTCGCTGTGCGTGCAATCCTTCGCACTGCTAAGGCTTCGCTACAAACTTCGCACACCGAATTTTTGTCCAAATACCTATTGTCTCAGGTTTGGGGCTGTTCACTAGCACTTCGCTTCTCCTTCACTCCAGCGAACCATTCGCTAGCTCCTTTGCACAGCGAATTTTGATGTCTTTTCTATCTGAGTAAACAGTGTCAGGTTCCCAAGGGCCTTCGCTGGCAAGTTCGGTGTGCGAACTTGTTGATGATTTTTCTGAGTAAATTCGCTAGGAAGTTTGCTGTGACTTGGTTTCCTTGTCAAAGTCTTTGTGTCTTACCCTTCTTATTTTGTGCCTAATTTCTGCACAATAACACACAAATCAAAGCAACCAAGACATTTTCGCACAATGAAGCATATCATCAAAAACAAGAGGGATTCTAATCACTTTCACCTACAAAAAGAATGAAAGATGCCAACATTTGATAGATTAAATAAGCATAGTTTGACATCTAACACCCATCAACCCCATCACATGAGCCTTTTACTCATAAATCACAAATAATCTCTCAAAGGAGACACATAATGAAGAGGACCCCACCCACACATCATGGAAAAACCTAGTTCACAAATCATATCCAACCTCCTTGTAACAAGACAAAGCAAAGATTTATCTGATGATCGACATGAAGAACTATCAGAAAAGAGACCTTTCAAGCAACCTTCGTCTCCACTTACTTAATAGTGTCAAATTCACCAGCCTCAGGATCTTAACTCCTAAACCTCTCTCTTTCTTAGATCTACAAACATCCCTCCACTTCACTCAAGCAATCCCTACCCCTTTAGAATCTCCATAGAATAACCTCATTTGCATCCAACTAATTTTTTTCAAATAGACATTGACATATTCATAAAGGAAAAGAAGAAAACCGAGATAGAATTAAAGAATGAATTAAGCAGAACAACGTACCTTCTCACAAAGGCTAACAAATATGTTCCTCCAAGATGCAAATCTCTTATTCATAGACTTAATAAGAGAGTCCTTAAACTTCACTTTCCTAAGATTTGCACTAAGTGAAAGCCTTAAATACTTGAAATGAAGAGAACCAACTTTACAATGTAAAAAATCATATAACTGATATGTCGAATCATCTAAATCCCTTATTTGAAAGCAAATGATTTTATAAAATGATATCAATGGTAGAAATATATGTTGTGTCGTCCTTTTACCGAAGTGAGTACTTCTCTATATGTTGTGTCATCCTTTTACCGAAGTGAGTGCTTCTCTGTTGCACCGTCCTTTTACTGAACTGCGTACTTCTCTCTGAGATGAACACCTTAGATAATCATAAACTTGAATCTTACTATTGGGTCCTTTAACTTTATACATATTATTTTTTTGAGATTTTTTTTACTCTTCAAATTCTAAAAAACCCTAAAACATCTATTGAATCAATAATCTATCTTAGATTCTAGAATCCTAATATTCCATATAACCCCATAAAACATTCCACTTCTCAATTAGTCAGGCATTAAGACATTTGCATCTTTCTTTGCAGCTAATTGTTACATGACTATTTTTTAATAAAAACAAGGCTATAAAATTGATAAGATGCCAAAATCTTACATAACTCAAGTTAAAATTGTAACTATAATTAATTAATAAAATTAATCAAATGCAAAGTGGGGTCTCTAAAATAGAAGCTAACAGACACAAAATTGGGCCCCTTATGGAAGAATCTAAAAAAAGTAGATAGGATAAGAGCCATATGCACTCCAACAATTCCTCCTGCGACTTCTTTATGGAACCAAATCTCTGCCATACCAACAACTCATTTACTATTAAACTGCTTATACAAATGCTCCCTTCAAAAGCATCCAAAATCTTCCATAAAAGTATAACACTAACTCAATATATATCTCCTTTTTTCTATATCTTCTTTAAATTTTGAATAGAATGTGGAAAGTATATATTCTAAAATTTCAAACTAGCCCACATGATCATGCATACTATAAGTATATGTAAAGTACATAAATTAATTCTATATTATATATTATTAATTTTCACATGATCATGCATACTATACTATGTGTAAATTAATAATATATAATTAATTATATATATATATATATATATATATATATATATATATATATATATATATATATATATATATATATATATATATATATATATATATATATATATATATATATATATATATATATATATATATATATATATATATATATATATATATATATATATATATATATATATATATATATATATAAAATAGTGTGTATGTGATATGTCTTTTTCATGCACTGACATGTATATAAAAGAAGCTAAAAAGTTTATTCTTGTCTTCTATTTCTCTATTCAATATTCCTTTGTCTTTAATTATTCCATTGAGAAACTACCTATGAAGGTTACCCTAATGCATGTCGTTTCACATAAAAAAATAAAGCATTAACATGTTACATGTTCTTCAAAAACACTAATAATATTGCAGGAAATTAAAAGTTTGGAATCAAATGAAGAATAAAGTAATAAAGATGTATGTGTCTCCTAGCTAGTACCACAGTCTCTTTTCTAAGAAATAAAAAACAAAGAAAATAAAAAGAATCTTGCATATAAAATGTAGGCTTGTAGAAATGTACATGTAGTATTCAAAATTAAAGATTATTGAAAATATTCCATAAGATATATTTGAAATGAGTTTGGCTCTAATGTTAATAATTGAATTTGAAAAGATTAAAAAAGATTGTGTGTGTCGTTTGTGGCTTTTGGTGAGTGAAATGGACCCATGAGAAACAAAAAGATATTCTTGAAACTCATGTTCTAAAGTTGAATTTCTTTTTATGAGGCAAACATGTAAAAGCTCCAACGAAGTAGTGATTTACTGCAACTATATAGGTACATTGTCACGTAGTGTAAAGAATATTGTAGATGATATTGATCAGTGTTGAATTATGCATGCATGAGATGAAATAAATAAATGAAAATATTAATTACTAATTAGATGCATGAAAAATGATTGTAAGAAATTTTCTTATGTTCATGAAACTAGATTTCTTTGATTTTCATATATTTAAAAGGAGGCTGTATCGGTTATGGAAATTCTTATAGCTTGAAATTCCACGTGAATATAGTCATCTTTGAGGGTGTGTAAGTCTGACTATAACATATTGTCTAAAACTTATCACACTTAAATTGCTGCTCAATAGAATCTCAAAAATATTATTACAAAAACTCTGTTTATTCTATCATAAATATAGGTGGACGAATAAATTTCAGCTACGCATTGTCTCTAAAAACATGAGATAGTTATTGCTGTACATGTGAATTTCTTGATAATATTTAAAAGAGAAAGCAAAAGATATATGATTCCTCTCTAAACTTTAAAAATAAAATACTAGCATTACATAAAAAAGAGTTTGTACTAATAAATATGTTATACATAAAATGCTTGGCACAAAATTTGTCCAATATTATCATATTGTTACAATATGCACAAACTCAATGGTATATATAGTTTTTATGTGAAAAAAAAAAAGAACTTATACAAATATCTTTAGGGAGAAAACTTATACAATAAACATCTTAAAATAATAATAAAATAATATAATATAATGATATATATTAATATATAGCGATGATTTTCATGCAGATTTAACTTTGAGTCTTAGATCATTCTCCATGACTGTGGTGTCACGAGGGAGAGCAGCTTTGTTTTCTTTTCTTTTTCTTCTTTAATTTTTGTCTTTCTTTTTCTCTTTGTTCTTTGTGACTTTCTTTCCAAAACTTGTTGTTTCTGACACTGGAGAAGTTGATAAACTGGAAAAAAGAAAGAAAGAAAAAAAAGAGCAAAAACTAAGAATGGATATGATGGTTTTTTGTTGGAAAGTGTATGGTTGAAGCATGAATGATGATATGACAATGATGTTGTCTCCTTCATTCTATTGATCATGATGTTGATGATGATGATGCTGATGATGATGGTTGTCTTGAGGAGGGTCAACAGGCCAATAAGAAGAGTATTTCAACCATTCTGCTTCTTGTTGGTTTCTCATAGATGATTCCTGCCGACATTCATTAGGGTTAGAAAAACTCTGAAATGAATAAAAATATATTTCAAACTCTGACGAATATTTACACGGAAAACAATGCAATGGTCCTTTTTCCATGTCATCATATAGTCAAAAGTTAACGTAGTATTCACCATTTTTTTTTCAAACAAGACCAAGAATGCAAAAACACATGATTATGTTTGAATGTGAACGAAAACATTATAAAGAGAAAAAAACAAGATGAAAAATTGCTTGTTTTATTTTCTATTAATAGTATATTTCTTGACTCTCTTTTCTCTTTATATAATATACATAGAATTTTGAGTCAAAAAGTTATTATAGTTTGTGTTGTGACCTCTTTGATAGTATCAGAAGATGTTGAAGTGCAACCCATGATGACTTCTTCCAAACCAGATGCAGACCTTCCACCACCTAGTTTATGATGTTGTTGCTGCTGTTGTTGTTGCTGCCATGTGGAACCATTTTATTAAAAGATATCAATCAATTTTGAAACAATCATTGTGTTTGATTCATCCATGACAATCAAAAAGTGAATTGACAGTTTCATGCTTGTACAATACCATGCATAAGCATAATCAAGTAAATGCAACATATTCAGTGGCTATTAATTGCACTACTCAACCTAATATACTAAAAACTTTGATTCTTATAGTCAATGGTTAATGTATAAGGGTCTTCAAAGAGGTCGGCAACTAGGCCTATTGTCAACTTTTTTGAGGAATCTTGAAACTCTATATTGTGTCTAATTGGTCATAATTGAGGTTATATATGTATATATCACTTGTATTTGACAACAATATCTATCATTTTTTTTTATATTAAGATTGCATAATCAACTCTTACAAGTTACAATGTGAAAAATTGAAATTGTTTCAAGTTGAATTCAACAAGATGCATATACACTTAGACTTTTAAGCCATTATCTTTTTTATTTTATTTTTTGAAATTGTTACAATATTTTTAAAAAGTTAGATTTGAAAGAGGTCTCTAATATGAGGACTATGCTTCCTATAATCGCTAAATCACATAGTCACACATTTGAGGCGTTAATAACGATCAAAATCAAAAGATTCAGATATAAATTTGATAATATTTATATAATAAAACAGAAATTAAAATTTGTATTTTATAACTGTCAAATCTTGATTGAACGATTATTAACCTTCAAATGTGTTAATGTTGCATATTTTTCAAATTCAAGTAATTCAATTTCCAAATATCACCTAAATTAATAGGAGAATTTTACTTAAAGTCTAGCATACCTTATATCTTATGCTAGATTTAGAGTCCTTTTCTAATTATGTTCTTTGTTACATAAAAAAAATAGTAGACTTTTAAATTTTTCAATAAACTTTAACAAAAACATTGTATTTGTTACCTATTATTTATTATTTTAAAATTCATATTTTTTATTAAAATAGTAATAATCTCTCTTAAAAACATATTTTGAATTTTCATATTGACCTGAATTTAGAGGATGAATATAGATACATACCTGGAAATTCTCATTTTGGAGCATGATTGTTGAGACATGGTAAGAATTATCATCAAGGATGATGGATGTATGGTGAAGTGGAGGTGGAGAGATGATAGTTGAGATTGGATTGGAAGGCCTACTGATATGGAAAGCTGCGTTTGCATTAATTTGTTGATGATGCTCATGTTGATGTTGTTGTTGATGATGATGTGTTACTACATGATGCTGCTCCTGATCACATGAGCCTGATGCTTGCATTTCTCTTGCTGTAGAACCTTCTCCTATTCCAACCTACAATAATAGTATCAATCATCATCAAAATTAGTAATGTTTATAATTGTTACATTTTCTTAGCTAGGTAGGTGAAGAAACATTGGTTAGATACAGCTACTATACTACTGACACTGATTTATCATCTGGTCAGGTACATATGATCTTTGCTGTCTATGCAAGCAATGTTTTATTCATTATGTCAACACTTTCCTTAACCCTTAATTTCATGCATGTTCTCTCATCTTTTTTGTCCAAAAGCATATACTTACCAACCCAATTTTGAAATTTTCATATAATCATATAGCTGCAAGTGAAACATCACATTCATTCATTTATAATTTAATCTCTTCCAATCAAATGTATCATACGCGTGTCAGACACCACACCAGACATGTATTCAGTATCAGCGTTGACAGACATCAAACACCAGACATCGACATACCTCATCGAAGCTGTTTTTCCGAAAAGGGATGAAGCCGAAATGATCAGATTTAAGATGTTGAATATCCAAAGCATTTGTGAAGCTGGTTAAAGGAGGTGGGACACCAACCGCAACAGCAGCGGCAGCAGCGGCCGCGGCAGACATTTCGTCTCTATAAATATGACTATTATGATTATGATGAGTTACAATCTCTTTAGAAGAAGAACTTCCACTTCCACTATCTCTTCTTGCATTGATAATATTATTAGGTTCGCCGCCACTTCCTTCGCCGGTTATTGTTGTTGCACCGATTCTATGATTATTATCAGACCAATTACACTGTCTCGGCTGTGTCTGATAAAATATCTTGGAAACAACAAGCTCTCCTTCTTTCTCTTCTTCATGTTGTCCTAGATGATACTGGTGCATAACCCAATTCGTCTTCTCGGGTTTTCGATTCTTCCCGAAATTGGTGTAGAGGACTAGAATCTTCTTGCAGCCTTTTTGTTTTCCGTTAACCATAACAGGTCTAGTTTTTCCAGTTTTGTGCCATCTTGTTTCTCCTCCTGAACCGGTTCCTTGCAAATCACATTCTTCGGTTTGAATCTTTCGTCTCTTTCGTGTTCCCGTTGTGTATGCCTTGGATGGTCTGTGGAAAAAGTGTCTGCTTAATCCATCTCTCGTCACTCCTGAAAATAAAAAAATCAAAGTTAGGTGACTTAATTAATTAGGTGAACTATATAAGATAAAATTAAATTTAAAAATAATTAAATAAATAAATATCTAAGAAAAACCTAAATGAATATATTATAAATATAAATTTTATGACCTGGAAGTTTTTCAGGATGGGTGTAACAAATTCCGTCTTCACCTTCAATAGTGAGAATGAATTCATCTATCAAAGGATGTGATTTCGTATTGTTCTTTGATTCAACTTTAGCTTCGAGATGTTCGATGAGTTCTTGATCTGTTGGATCAAACTTCACTCCTGCTGGTAGACCTAACCAATCCTATTAATTTCATTGAAATTCAAATTTAAAGAATATTAGAGAAAAAAAGAAAGAGAATATAATCAAAAGAAGAAAAAAATAAAAAGATGAAAACCAACTTTAGTAATAATAATAATAATAATAGCTTGCAAGCATGGTTTTTGCAGTGTAACTGCAGTGACCGCAATCGCAATAGTATGAGGTACGAACCGGTTTGCCTTGATCGAACTTGTGACCGCAGCGAGGGCAGTGTTTGGATCCACAGAGCTGATGTTCTTCAAGCTTAGAATCTATGAGATCAGAGCTGGTCATCTTATTCATCATCTTGTGATTGAGGTGTATATGTTTGAGGAAGAGTTTTTATGAATGAGAAAATGGATCCATAGAATAGAATGAAGTGATTAGGATAAGGATGAGAGTTACTTAGAAGGAAAGGGATGGGTTATTGTAGTGATAAATATAAAAACTAGAAGGTGGTTTTAAAGAAACAAGGAATAAAACACCAGAATTTGCTCACTACTTTAACTGAAGGCAAGGAAGTGAGAGAAGAAAAAATAAAGAAAAAGTTGTCTCTTTGTTTTCATATACTTTTCTGAACCGCGTTTTTCTGATTTTAACCGGTTTATATGAGAAAAAGTATGAGAGAGAAACAATAAAAACAAATTAAACCCGGTTGGTTTTTTCTTATAAATATTGTCTTCGTTACTCTTGCCACCCCATGAGAAGTATATCTATATTTCAAGGATAAAGGGATGCATTACTATTTTTAATAAATTTCATAAAATATTTGTTTTTGTTTTTTATTAATATTTATAAATTTTACTTACTAAAAATAGTGAGATTAATCTATAAACCATTTTTGAGAAATCAATAATAAAAACAAATTCACAATAAAGATATAACATTTGTAATTTATATGAAGAGAAAAACACGGAAAAATGTCTAACAGCAAAGCATGAACTATATATATATATATATATATATATATATATATATATATATATATATATATATATATATATATAAGAAATAAAAATTTTAAAAAATATAAGAGAAACAAGGTGCGTCAGAATTGCGCAAGAACATCAAATAAGACAAACTGTCTAGGCCAAACAAAAAATAGAAGAGCAAGACAACATACCAGCCATGAAAGAAAAAATAAGCCAATCATTCCAAATAATCGATCTATCATGAAGGCTTTACCATATCAAACCTCTGGAGAGAGTAGGTTGGAGGAAAGAAGACACGACCACCTATACAAAGTAAAAGGAGGACAACTGGCCACCTAACACACCCCTAAATGCCCAACCATTTGAACAAGTGTCGCTCTCAGTCTAACAGAGAAACTTTGAAACCTAAAACACGGGCTCGAGCCCACTTTCATGTCAATCTAATGATCAAAGACATCCAATGATTAACTGTTAAATTTTTCCAACAAAAAAATAACTTTATTTTGCATTTATCAAATAGTTTAGATCACTGAATGTCAGATCAAGATCAGGGTTAGTGACGCTTGTTTTCCATAACCCAAATCCTAAAAACAACTCAAACATCTCCAAAATCGAATACAAAAAAGTCCAAGTCGCCTCACCCACTTAAACACTCTTTATCAGATAGATGGTGTCACCTCACATAAGACAAAAAGATGCTCGGTCGACTTCATCTGCCACGTGCACACTCCAAACCCAACATTAATAGAACCAGACAAAACTTGATGTCTCAGGAGATTCTACCTAGTTGGCAACCTATTTTGAAGAAACTGCCAAGAAAACACTATGATTTTAGAATGCGCATAGCTCTTTCAAATCCTAGCAATGTGTAACACCCTGAATTTTATTTGAATTTTTATTTATTTGATAATGTGATTTTTCTGTATTACTATTATTGCTAGTATTATTAAAAAATTATGGAATAAGTTAGAGAATTAGAAGTTAGAAGAAGTGAGAGGGAAGTGGAGTTAGAAAAGGGAGTTAAAGGAATAATAATAAATGGAAATTTTGAATTTTTAAATAAGAGAAGTAAAATAAGGAAAAATAGAATAAATAAGAAGAGTTACGGAGAAAATGGAGAAGTGTGTTTCCCTTGGAAGAAAAAGGAGGCAACCCAAGCCCTCAAACATTTCTTCTTCTCCAGAGCTCTAAGATGGATGAGTTGAGAGAGTGTTAGAGTTTACGAAAGGAAAAACTTTCACCATTGTTGAGAGCTCACGAAGAAAATTCTGCACTAGCAAGGTAAGGGGGAAAATTATTCTACAATTGTGGTATTCTAGCGTTAAGGGTAGTGGGGTTTCCCTTAAACCCCGAATTTGTATGAGTTATTATATGAATTCTCCTTGAGATTACGATTCATGAATTTAGGTCACGAGTATCTCTTTTATCACTAATAATTTAATTTTAATTTCAGCTTTCCGGTTGTGATCTTTCGTGGATCTCTATGTGTAGTGTTTATATCATGTGATGTTTGAAAGATAAGGTATTGTGATAAATTTTTGTGATTGAGTTGATGTTTAGATGGTGTTATGAAGTGTAGTATTGTCTAAAAAAACTAAGGTATGGGGTGAGAAAATATACAAGAAGGAGAGGTTGAATTATGTATGTCCAAATATAAAACTCTCTTAACTAACTGTTTTTGAACCACCAGATTCTGAACCACATTCAGAGTCTAATATTAGGGTGAGTAACAGCAATGAAAAGTTTACTTCCTTTTCTTAAATCTGTTTTAAAACATGAGGTGTCAAGCTCACATTCTGATGCAAGTAAGAGACGGAATCAGATTAGAGTCTGACTTCAGAGTATGTTTGCACAATGCAATATAAATGTAGAAGTAAATAAAGAGACACACAATATATCTTGGTTCCTCTCAACTGAGAGTAGTCAGTCCCCTTGCAGCACAAGGACTTTTAATTGTAATCAGACTGATTACGATTGCTTAAGCCAGCAGCTCAAGACTAGCTCAATCCAATAGAAAGAGACTTCTGCTCAAGCCCGCAAGCATGAAACTTATTTTCCTAAACTACTCATTCAAGACTTCTTGCTCTGCCCGCAAGCATGAGACTTCACTGCTTAATCACACTGATCGAGACTTTCTTGCTCTGCCTGCAAGCATGAGACTTAAATGCCTAAACATCCAGTTCAGGAATTATATATATATATATATATATATATATATATATATATATATATATATATATATATATATATATATATATATATATATATATATATATATATATATATATATATATATATATATATATATATAAGAAATAAAAAGTTAAAAAAATACAAGTGAAACAAGGTGCGTCAGAATTGTGCAAGAACAATAAATGTGACAAAGTGTCTAGGGAAAACAAAAAATAAAGGAGCAAAACAACATAACAACCATGAAAGAAAACTAAGCCAAACATTCTAACAAATAGATCTATCATGAATATTTTGACGCATCAAACCTCCAGGAGAGAAGGCTAGAGGGGGGAAGACATAACCACCTATACAAAGCAAAATAAGGACAACTGACCACCTAGCACACCCCTAAATGCTCAACCACTTAAACAAGTGTCACTCTCAGTCTAACAGAGAAACTCTAAAACCCAAAACATGGGCTTGAGCCCACTTTCATGTCAAGCTAATGATCAAAGACATCCAATGATTAACCGTCAAATTTTCCCAACAAAAATTAACTTTATTTCGCATTTTTCAAATAGTTTAGATCACAAAATGTTAGATCAAGATTAGGAATAGAGACGTTTGTTTTCCATAAACTAAATCCTTAAACAACTTAGACATCCCCAAAATAGAATGCAAAAAAGGCCCAAGTCACCCCACCCACCTAAACATTTTTTACCAGATAGATAAGACAACCTCATAAGACAAAAAGATGCTCAGTCGACTCCATCTGCCACATGCACATTCTAAACCTCCACATTAACAGAACCAGACAGAACTTGATGTCTCAGAGCAGTAAGGTTTCCCTTAAACCCCATATTTGTATGAATTCTTATATGAATTCTCCTTGAGTTTACGATTCATGAATTTAGATAATGGATATCTCTTTTATCACTAATAATTTAATTTCAATTTCACCTTTTTGGTTGTGATCATTCGTGGATTTCTATTGATATCATGTGATGTTTGAAAGATAACATATTATGATAAATTTGTGTTATTAAGTTGATGTTTATATGGTGCTATATAAAGTGTAATATTCTATAAACAAAAAACTAAGGTATGGGGTTTTGATTAAGAATTAATCATAATGCATGCATCGTACTATTAGGATAACCTTTCTGCATAATGAATATGCACACTACATGTTTGATATTTTAACATTAGGTAATCAAATATAAATTTAATGTTTATGATGTGACTTAGAAATTTTGTATATGTGTTAATTGTTAGGGATGAGTTAAGGGGTTCTATAGAATCCTAGGAAGTAGTAACTATATAGAATTAGAGAGTAATATGTGAGATTAAAATTCTACAACTTGTGATTAGTATATCCTATTAGTCATTTTTGTATAACTTTAGTTATAAAATTGACAAATCTATTTCTCTTAGAATCTAATATCTTAGAGATTATATTTACAAGAGGATCCCTAGTAACTTCCTTCTTTGGGTTTGCATCCACCTGATGTCCTAAATACTTAAAAGAGAGGGAACCCTTGAATGTTAAAACTATATAACTTGATTATAATACAAAGTATTATTACTATTTAATCTAATTAAAAATAATATAGTCTTTGATATTCTACTTTGGTAATTTAGAGATAAAGATGTTTAATATACAATGTGAATTCGAACTCACATCACCACACAACTTTTGTTATAAGAAAGAAGTTGGTGGATGGTGTCACGTTGGTTAATGAAATTATTTATTTGGATAAGAAATCTAAGATGGAGTGCTTGATCTTTAAGATGGAATTCGAAAATACTTGTGATTTGGTAATGTAGAGTTTCTTAGACTCCATGTTTGGTAGATTTGGTTTAGATGATAGGAGGCATCTTTGAATCTGAGCTTGTGTGTTTTATAGTAACCTTTATTTTCTTGTTAATGGTTGTCTGACGAAGAAGTTCAACTTTCAAAAGGGACCATTTAGCCCATTCCTCTTCCTTTTGGTGCTAAAAGGTTTGGGTTGGCTAATCCAGAATCTTGAGCCCTTGTTTTTTTTTAAGGATTTCTCAATGGTGAATTATGACTTGCATATTTCTCATATGCATTACACAATTGATACCCTCTTATCATAAAGTCTAAATTTGATAACATGTGGACTATGAACATTGTTTTATGTTGGGTGTGAATGTCTTAGATTCATTTATGAGAATGGG